GAATGCTCACGCACCACAGGTTGAGAACCACAGATGCAGAGTGACTTAAATTCAATAATAACAAGTTGTGCGTGTGTTTCTAAAGCAAAGCCACATCGGGCTATCTGCTGTGTCCACCGAAGGGAATCGAACCCCTGATTTTAGCGTTGTAAATCCGCAGACTTACTGCTAAGATTCGTCAAATTTACAGTTACGTCAATATTTAATTGTTCGCCCGGGTTATAATTACTTCTTGTGTAAGTCCATGTCATTTGAAGGGTTGCGGTGATTTACATATGGTTGAGTGTTCTTCATTTCGTTTATTCTCTGTACAAGTTGAAATTACCAGTTAGTACATTTGAAAAAAATAATCCCTTTTTTCTGTATCTCTTCCAATCATTCTTGTCTTTTTTTCACTCCACGAGTAATTTTTCTCATTTTCTATGTGATTTTGCCTTTTTTTTTTAAACCAGTTTATCGCGTAGGACCTTTATATATATACGATGATTTGTATAGCATGTTTTGTAATTTATTTGTTGGTAAATAGTAACTATTATATCTCATGAGTTGTCATATCAGTCTTAAGTTTTCCCGGTAGGTGGGGCGTGGGTTGGCGCTCTGGATTTCTGAGCTGGCGAGCGGATTCGAATCTGTGCAGTACCACAAAATATTATCCGCACTTTAAGTTGTGGGTGCTTTATAAAAGCGACAGTGAATCCCTTAGCATGGACGGTGGATGATAAGCGGCTGCTTTCCATCTGGCCAATAGATCAAAGTTAGGGACGGACGGCTTTACCATGAATACAAAATACAAATACAATTTTCCGGTAGGCGTCTTTCTAGCAGTTACATGGGTTTTTACAGTGATGTGTGCTTATTGAGAATATCTCTGTGTTGCTTTGATATCTTTCGCTGCTGCTGATATATATATATATATATTCAATAGAGTAAAAGCTTGTTTAAAGTGTTGATTGAGTTGTCCTGTCAATCTTCTTTTCATGTTCATTCATTTGACCAAAAGAAGCTATAAGCGTGTTTATAGCTGTCGTTAATGCTACATTGGTATTAGATTACTGGTTTCACCATTGAACTTGGGCCACAATGGACTCGGGATTAGGTAGACCAATTTCCTTATTAGATTAACACGTTCGTTCACGCATTTAACGTGCCAGTTAACTAAATGTTGCTATAGTAACAGAATAATGCCGCGTAAATTCCCAATTTACTTTACATAGTAACCTTATATTAATTATAGTAATTTTATATGAAGCAGAACCTAAACCAACACAAGATAAATAATATTTTCATATAATATCAACTGATGTTTTTATCTGTTAAATGTTGTACTGTGGTAATTGAATTTCGTATTAAACTTAGTTGTTGTTTTTTTACGTTACTTCAGTAGAATTATATAGTAACAGTTCAAAAGACTGCTCTCACACCTGATGTGTTTCTCTAAATGTATTTGTATGTAATAATATATCTAATGTTCCTTATTTGTATGTAGTAAGATATATCTAAGGTCTCTTCATAAAAATGGTATCCTCGAGGTCAATGATTCTTTTAAGTCTTTATATATGTAGTAACAAACATCTAAAATGTATCCTTATATGATTGGTGTATTTTCTCTAAGCGTATTTGTATGTAGGAACACACATCTAATGTTTCTTCATCAGAAGTGTGTGTATCCTCATGGGTGACATGCGTTTGTATAGAGTAATATGATGCCAGAGAGATTTTGATGTACACATTTTTGGTTGAAGCTTGAAGTATATGAGGCGAACTCGTGTAAATAGCAAATTTCGAGTAACAACTGTTCAGAAATGGATATTTTTGGTAAAATCGCTAACCCTTCCCCCAACGTAATTAACCAATTGGTCGAAATACAACACCAACAACAAAAAATGTCAATGAAGCTATAAATTCGTAGCTAAAAGTCCTATGATCAATATAACACATATAACCGAAGGAAAATAAGAGCCAATGAGCAGCAGTAATGATTTTTTGTCTTTATGAATGAGGAGTCAGAGAGCTATTATTTGGTGCTCGGTCCTTGTTTTGAGCACAGCTCAGACAGCCCATTGTACAGCCTCCTGCTTAAACAAGTATTTGCATTTTGTATTTATGTCAAAGCTACTAATCAGAGAGAAGACATCCACTGATGCAGCAACATCCTACTTCCGACCATTTATATTCGATACGGCAAAACATTTCCCGCGTTATGGGTACGTTATAATAGTAACAAATAATCCCTTGGAACCGTTTAGAATCCGTGGCCAGCTCCGAAACCCAGAGCTTTACCATAGGACCAACAAAAATTCCTGTTTAAATAAACAAGCACCCCAGTGGCACAGCGGTATGTCTTACAACGCTAGAAACCGGGTTTCGATACTCGTAGTGGGCAGAGCACAGATAGCCTATTGTGTAGCTTTATGCTTAATTTCAAACAAACCTAACAAAAAAAAAAAACATTTCTTTCACAATTATTAATTTCTAAATGAAGAATATGACATCAAGTTTATATCTAATGTTAATAGAAAAAAACATTATTTTTACCAATAACAGCTTCTAAGAAATAATATGGAAACTTTTGAGTTATCCTAAGCGCTATATTCAAGAGATCAGAAGATAAACAAATTTAAATATCAGTTTACGGTACAAATCACAGCCACAAAGTTAACTTCAAAACTTCCAATACACCAGCATTTAAACACCAATATAATGATTTACTACAATATACCAAATTTGATGCTACAATATATCAAATTTCAACATATTTACATCTTAAACCTCATATTTTAAATTTTATATTTGAATAATGTAAATACCTATATGCATATGTAAAAGTTCCTTTTTGTTTTGATGTTTAATTATGCTTCCCTTATAGGGGGGGGGGGGATACATTGTATTTCTTGAATTTTTTTCTTCTCATAGCGCATCCTAGTGGTTAGCTTGCCGACTGTGGATCTGAGGATCCATGGTTCGCGTCCCGTTGCTGCTAAAGAATAAATCGTACTCCGCACTTTGTGGCCGTGAATGAAAATCAAATCCCACTATTCATTCTGATAAGAATAGGCCAGGAGTTGGGGTGAGTGATATGAATGGCTGCTTGCTCTTTAATCTATCACTTCAAAATTAGGTACGGCTAGCGCAGATAACCGTGGTGCAGCTTTGCACAAAATTCAACAAACAAATTTCTTTCTTCCTTCTTTCTGACAATAACAATGGTGAACAACTCCTTTATTTCCAAGTTGGTCGTCTTGATAAGTGGAGTGTATATACCTTGGTCAATACGCTATGATTACTTTTTTTATTTAGGTCCCCACTCCAATATCGGGGGATACAAGGTCAAACATTACAGAAATGTATATTTTGACCTGCGGTTCCCTTATGTTTCCATCACTTCAAAAAACTTGGAACAAAAATACCTTGCAACAACTCTCAAAGAGAGGGGTCAAAAATAAAAAACTTGCAAAATTAAGATTTTTGGCTTCCTATTTCAACCACTCTAAGTGAGACTTTGTGAAGCGATATCTTGCGACGGCCTCCACAGACCGAAGCAGACACATTTGTATTAAATGTCTTTCTTTCCCTCTGAAGTGTATGTCTTGCAGTTTATACCCTTTCCTCTACCTTGAATAGCATTCTCTCTTGGAATCTATTACATTTTGAGGATTTTGTCAAACAAGGTGGTTGAGGGGAGACGTATTGCATCCTCTTTTGAAATCTACTGTATTTGAGGATTTTATCAAACAAGGTAGATGAGAGGAGACGTATTACATCCTTATTTGTCTACCTTGTTTGATAAAATCCTCAAATACAATAGATTTTGAGGGGAGACGTATTGCACTCTCTTTTGAAATCTATTGTATTTGAGGATTTTATCAAACAAGGTGAAAAAGGGGAGACGTATTGCACTCTCGTTTGAAATCTATTGTATTTGAGGATTTTATCAAACAAGGTAGATGAAGGGAGACGTATTGCACTCTCTTTTGAAATCTATTATATTTGAGGATTTTATCAAACAAGGTGAAAAAGGGGAGACGTATTGCACTCTCGTTTGAAATCTATTGTATTTGAGGATTTTAGCAAACAAGGTAGATGAGGGGAGACGTATTGCACTCTCTTTTGAAATCTATTGTATTTGAGGATTTTATCAAACAAGGTAGATGAGGGGAGACGTATTGCTCTCTCTTTTGAAATCTATTGTATTTTAAGGATCTTATCAAACAAGGTGGTTGAGGGGAGACGTATTGCATTTTCTTGCCAATGTTAGCCTTTTTAATTTTAATAGTACTTTTTGTTCACCAGAATTTCGAACAATGTGTAGTAACCACAAGAAAAGTCAAACAGAATTTCAAAGAAAAACATAATTTTTCTCTAAAAACTATTCTACATTCATTTTAAAAGAACAATATTTTAAACCGACCTTCAAAAGATTTAAAATTCTTTTAGCTACAGATGAATTATCTCATTCTATTATTTGAAGATGGCTTTAAGTTTTGAAAACATTAGTTCCATATAATTGATGTTTTCATACATTCGTTTGTGATCAACGAAACACCTTTATTCATAACAGTTCAAATCCTTTTTGATGCTAAATTATACTTATTTCATGAAAATATTATCATCGCCATTTTTTAACACCAATCTAAATGACAAATGTTTTAATGAAATTAAACGATACCTATAAACATACAGATTACATTAAACACTTATCATAATCTTTACTTTCGGATATCCGCAGTAAAAGTAACTCAGCATTCAGGATTATTGGCGTTTACACATGTTGTAATTTTTTATCCAAAAACGTAGTAATGGTTCAAAAACTTCCAAATACACGTTGTCACGTTTGGCGCAATAGTTGATGCGTCGTATATACACAAATGAGTAAATGTGTGTTAAGCACTGAAATATCATTTGTTTAAATTGTATGCTAATTCATATTTTTTTATTTTTCTCAATTTTTATAGACCTCCAACTAATTTTACTATTTACTTTTATACGTTTATTTGATTTAGATTGCAACAAATCATCTCCAAGTATCTCCAGCAGCCCCGAAACGGCTCCTCCTCATTCTCAGAGTGAAATTTCTACTACTGATGCTCTTACAAGTCCGACAGTGTCCTGCAGCACGTCCAGTAGTCAAAAGTCCAAACCTCGCTCGCTTCCCCTTTGTTCTGGTCCGCGACAAGACAAACACGAGAGTCACCTGGTGACAAGTAGGGAATCACTACCGGCTGATTTCCGACCAGGTAGACTAAGTCCGTTGGAGATGCTCACTCGGATTTTCCCCACGCAGAAGAAAGCAGTGTTGGAGTTAGTATTGGAAGGATGCAACGGAGACTTGGTTAAAGCCATAGAACACTTTCTGTCAGCAAATGACGCTTTGTTGCTGCATCAACGGGTCAGTAGCGCTGCTATATCGTTCCCCACGTGCACTCCGTATACGCCTCGAACCTTAACAACCATGACGATGGCTATGCCTGATCAGATTTTAAAATCACAACCTGAGCCGCCTCTACGAGTCTCGCTGGGCTCCATCAAATCAGCTTTCACACCGCTTTCTCCTCCTGCAGCCCACCAAAATACGCCTTTTGCTTCCACTCTACCTCAGCGTACACCAGTGATTTCAGCTCCGGTGTTAACGGATGGTGTCGCGGCTACTATGTCTCGCCCCTCGATGTTAATGTCGTCGTTGCAACGATTTCCAAACACGACTTGCCCCTTCCCGCCCCTTACCACTTATCCGTTACCTTCTACTTATCCACTTCTATTCCATCCCTACCAGCCGTGTCCCCCCGGATGTCCACAATGCCCTCCTCGTGCAATGAGTACCCCTCCCGACGAATATTCTGATCCTGCAAGTCCAGAGGGTCACGCAGTTCATAGGGATAGCAGACTTCAAGAAGCTGTTGACCTGTCGGACAGTGGCTCATGGCAAGGAAGTCCAACGGGGAAGCAAGATAAATAGTTAGATCATGTTAGAGAGAATAACTTGTAACATCTGTAAATAGTTCTGAAATGCCAGAAGCAAGCCAGAAATCATGCTATACAAATGACACACTTAACGTTCGTGAGTCTACATGCGCTAGACATGTAATATTACCATAATTTTCCTGGCGTGTTTTCTGAATTATATTCATAGAGGTGATGAATTATACTTGATTTTCAAGATTAATTAGATTCTATACGAAGCGAACTAATACTGAGTTCGAGTAAACTCATCATAAACCAAAGTATCTAGCTATCAGATGGAAAATATGTTTATTCGAGATAAATACCAGTACCTTATGAAAGGAAATACACAAAGAGTTGTTAAAATGGTGGAATATCAGCCACTGCCGAGAAACCCCATACAGTTAACAAATTTAATGCTGAACACATCGATATTACCTGAAAAACAGTGAACTCACTGAAAACATTTAATGAAAGTGAAGGTTAACAGTTACATCGCGGAAAACGTTTAATGAAAGTGAAGGTTAATAGTTACATCGCTGAAGACGTTTAATGGAAGTGAAGGTTAACAGTAATATCTCGCTGAGATGTTTAATGGAAGTGGAGGTTAACAGTAATATCTCGCTGAGATGTTTAATGGAAGTGGAGGTTAATAGTAATATCTCGCTGAGATGTTTAATGGAAGTGAAGGTTAACAGTAATATTTTGCTGAGATGTTTAATGGAAGTGGAGGTCAAAGTTATGTCGCTGAATGTGTTTTTTTTTAAAGTTAAGTTTAGCAGTTACACCACTGAAAACGCTTTTTTGCAAGTGGTTAAAAATTACCTCGCTAAAAACGTTTAATGGAAGTGATGGTTATCAGTAATATAGCTGAATAAGTTTAATGGAAGTGAAGGTTAACAGTAATATAGGTGAATAAGTTTAATGAAATGAAGGTTAATAGTTATATCCCTGAAGACCTTTAATGGTACTGAAAACTAAACGACGTAGTGCTGAAGACTCTAAATAGAAGTGAAAGTTACCAGTTACATCGTTGAAACATTTAACGAAAGAGAAGGTTAACAGTTACATCGTTCAAAAAATTTCAGTGAGAAAAACTTAGTTATGCCAGTACAAACTTTTCTTGGTGTGAAGTTTACACAGTTATCAGTATGTTCTATGTGACAGCTTCAACGGGAATATTATTAAAGAGGTTCATGCGATCTGGATAGATCACCGCCTGAAAGACACTACATCCTATTATGAAATTCTTATAATTAACAATAATATTACTGCAATGGGTAAAATATAGAACTTAGACCACAGTTATTATTCCTTGTGTGGATAATGTATAGAGCTTTTAGTAAACAAAGTAACATTATGCCCCGTTGTTCAAACCATAGTGAAGTGGAGTACACCTATTAAACCAGCGTTAATAATTTGTAGCTAGCGTAGTTTAGTTGTATGTATGGTTGACTTGTTGTTACGTCTTCAGGTATTTGATAGTTGATAAATTGTACAAAAAATATCTATGTATCAGGAACACACACACTTAGTGTATTTGCATATTTTTCAGCGTAGTTTGAAGTAACATGTCCATAACCTGGTGATGTTGTGGTTATATATTTTCCAAGTAATTGGTCAGTATTTACATTTGGGGGGAAGCAGGTGACAGAGATCATTCTGAAAGCCGCTCGTTACTGTATATAAAACTGCTCAGATTAATATTATCTTTCTATCAAGAACCGAAACTCTTGCTGGACGGTATTTATTAAACTAGAGTATCAAATCTTTTTGACCTTGTAACCAAACCTGCAAACTGACTAAATAGTGTAGAATCAATTAAATGATATTTAATCATGCATATTTCGCGGACTGTGAAAAGATTGAACAATAGAATTGGGCACACATAGTGAGATTTAATATTCAAAACCACGGTGTCATGTTACCTTGACACAAACTCTCTTTTTATTTTATATCCTCAAGATATAGCAAGTACGCTTTTTCCTGGAAAGAAATTCTATTCAAATGCAAGTATAAACACATGAAAGTTATTATAATCGGGGTTGACGTTTCAGTTTGAAAAGTCATTATTGTGGCATTATTTGTTTAGGACTATCAAACATGAACTTCTGATGTGAGATGTGACGGCCAACTCTGTACGAAGTCGAACTCTGAACTTATAAATAAATAAACATGGTTTTAAGTCCTAGTCTCATATTTTTTTAAATCTATGACGTAACTATTATAGTAAGAATAATCCAGCTTGGGATCAACAAAGTTTTAAACCTTTCCTTAGTAAAATAACCGACACGAATAAAACGAGAATAAAAATGTTAACTTACGTGTGACTTAAAACTTCAACGTCTGTAAACGCTAAACAAATCAAACTATTAACACCATGCTTCGTCCCCGTTATTTTTGCATCATCAAGTAAACATACAGGGAAAACATCCTTTATTTGTCTTCGCGTTATAGTAAAAACAACTTAATACAGCTTGTTTTTAAATCGAGATCTGTGTGACGAACTAATAGTCTTTTTTAATGAATATGTTTCGATCGTCTTTAGTACTTCTATACTTTTTGACATAAACGTTGTGCAATTGGTCGTAGCCTCTCTAAGCCTAACTGCATAACAATTTTCATTTATGTTAATATTCGTGACCTCACTAAGCCTAACTGCATAGTATATTTTTTGTTGTGTTATTGTTCGTGATCTCCTAAGCCTAACCGCATAAAATGTTTTATGCTGTGTTGTTGTTCGTTACCTGTGTAAGCCTAACTGTATAATACACTTTTTTTTAAAGCTGAGATCAGTGTAAATCACAAATTAGCCATTTATGACAAGCCATTTCTTACATTTAAAGCGTTGAAAATGATTTAATCGAGCAACATGTACTCGAAAGTTGATCGAGACTATAGAACTTTGAAAAATCGTCTTTATTGGAGAAGGAAATGCAAGTTTGAAAAGAGAGAGAGAAGCGGTCCATCAGAGTATTTATTTGATAAAGGCCATAATGTTAACAATAATGATATCCACTTATAGCGTGTTCATGTACTCTAATAAAAAGGATTCATTACGCAAAACCATCATCAACAAGACCATCGTTGTTCATAAAGAACACCAGCACGTTGTAACTAAAACTATGTCCCTTACTTAAAGAAATACTTAATCAGTTTACACGCTTATTTATGGATACGCTTTTTTTAAAATCATTTTCACAAACTTCTTTTTTCGAAGTTCAATTCTTTCTGCCTACTCATAAACGACAAGAGCAACGTTGAAGAAAAAGTAGTTATTAAACAATCGTGCACACATTTGCGGCGTTAGTTGATAACAGAATTCCCTAATGGAACACAGAAGACCATTCTTATGCAAATAATGATTCACTTGAGTTATTCAAACAAATAAAAAAAAATGAAAGAGCTAGTAAACATATCGCATTCGGAGAAAAATATTAAATAAGTTATTCGTTAAGCTTAACAGAACAAACTATCAGTTATGGAAAAAAAAAAATCAAAGAAATAAAATGTATGCTATTTAACAGCACCAAACTGCTCTTCTTTATTGGTTATTTGTTTTCACTGTTGATAATCTTGTTCGAGTATTGTTATATTTTTTTATCCGGGTTTGACCTGGTGGTTAGCATACCCATATTGTGAAACAACTCACAAAGACCGTTGAAGCAGATAGCCCTCGTGTAGCTCTGCGCGAAATTCTGAAACAAACAATACACCCTTTTTTTTACCCTTTGTACTAATGTTTTAATTACCTTAATTAATTCTATTTGTATTTACTTGCATTTACGTTTAATTTGTTTTTAGATTTTGCCAATTCAATCCAACTAAACACAACTTTAAACCTAAAACCATTAGATTTTATTCTGTTAATTAGATTCTTCATTCTGTACACTTACTCTGGAGAATTATATAGAAATGCACGTTTCTTCAACGACCGACTGTAAATCAGTATTTCACAAATTCTATATAACTAAAGTACTCTAGTTCCACCTATTCAGCTTTATCTTCATTGAACAATAATGGTGTTAATTTCTGCAATTTCATGAAATTGATTTAATAAACGCGAAATACATAGTCAGTAGCCAGTTGTTTGGAAAAGTCAATAGGTTATAGTTAGTTATGTGTTTGACTAATAACGTAGCGTTACCATTCTAACAGTGAGATACCCCTGCGTTTGTAGTAAGTTCAACTGAATATGATTAAAAATGAAAGCGTTATACACTGTTTAATAAAACCAATTGAGGATAAGCAAATCGCACCACTGTTCACTAAATTCAACTGGATATCTTTAATTGTAAGTGTTATCATGGAATCGTAGATCAACTTGAATGTCATTAAAGATAAACAAGTTATACCTTAATTTAGTACATCTAGTTAAAAATACGATTTCCTCTGCTTCATAGGTTCATCAACTGAATATCATTAAGTTGTATCACTGTTTAGTAACTTCAAGGGAATGTCATTACGAGTATTTAGTAGGTAAATCTAAGTACATATTGTTAGGGATATGTAAGTTGTACCAATGCATTGTATAAACCTAACTGAATTTCTTTAAAGAAAATCAAATTGTATCATAGTTCTAATAAAGTTAGTTTTATGTTCAACCCCTGTAGAATAAGTGGATTTACATCTAGTATGTAACTTAATGGTAACAATGAAACAATAGGTTAACCTACGGTATACTGGATTCCGTTATTGAGATAGGAGATCGTTCCTATCAATAGTGTAAACACAGGTTAATGCGGTCAAAGACCATATATTAAGCAGTCCTAATGTTTAGTAAAGGAAACTCAGATAGATATGTTACTTTACAGTTCAATAAATCAACTGAATATCAGAATTAAGATGAGGAGTTGTCGTGTTTAGAAAAAACAACCTAATATATTTTCTGAAACCTGATTTGTCCTATGAGGAATGTTCACTCGGCGTCATTAGATAGATTGTATGTTATCTTACTCTTTAACGTATCTAACTTAATATCATCAGTAAGACAGAACACTATTTTAATATTTCGTA